GGCAAATTCCTTGCAACTAATGTAGTGTCTGTTCTTAATATTTTAGTGGCAAGACCTGATGAATTAGACAATGAGAGGTAGGAAACTAATTGAATCCTCTGCTGTTTGGTACTTTGCTGTGATACTGTGTAATTGTTACCTGCACGTGCGAGAAAGGAAGGGGGGAGAAGGGAGCTTAGTAGAGGGAGGATGGAGCCCTGGACTCTGGCAAGTCATTGTGACACGTTTTTGGCTTGCCCAAGCCATTATATTATACTTAATCTTTGCCTCATACTGACCTCCAGTAATGCTTGCTTGAGTGTTGTAAAATTTCCCCTGCCACTTCCCCCCCGCACCCTTAAGTTAGAAGTGCTGCCTTAAAAGCAATTTCTTTTGTATGGGCTTCCAATACTGGGAAAACAACTGTTTTTTTTTTTTTTTTTTGAAATAATGAAGTCTTCTGAGACTTCATAAAGAATGTTTAACAAGCTTGTCCCAGAAGTTGTTACTGCATACTTATGATCTGACTGCAACATTTAATAATGGGTTGAGAAATGTTGGGGTGTTGTCTTCCTCCCTGGGCACACCTTTCTGCCTGCCTGTACTGCTGAGCCGCACTGGATGCTCAACTCCCAACTAAATCATTTGAGCTGTTGCCAAATGACTTTTTTTTTTTTTTTTTTTTTTTTTGCAAGCAAGCAGCCCAAATACAAAAGCAATTGCTCTTCCTAACCCTCAAGTATTTGTAACTAGCAGTTAAGAAGCACTAATAGAACTTGCCAAAGACAATGCCCCCAAAGTAACTGAATGTATCAAGTAAGGTACAAGGCTGCTTGTAAACCTCGTGATGAATTCTTGGGGGTTGCAGTTGACCAAATATACGCAGAAAAAGCAAACAGATTCGCTTCATTTGCTTCTGCACTGCCCCTTCCCTCCAGTAGCATGGAAACTAGTCTAAGGCAAAAGACTGAATGACTGAAATTACTGCTCCTTAGCTGCTATGGGAGAACTGGAACACTTGTAGAATGGTACGTAGAAGTGTTGCTTTCGGCAAGGTGGTGTTTTGAAAGGCAGGCTGACCCTCACCTCTAGAGCCCAGCACCTGGGGGAGAAGAGAAGGTAGTACTGAGATAAGTGTTTGTAACAAGTGACTTCTGCACTGATGCCAATGCAGTAATATCTGTTCCCGAATTCTTCCCTTCACTGCAGCTGGGGTTATGTTCACCCTCGGCTGCTTGGAGTGCCAGAACTCTGTCACCATTTGGCTGAAGGATGGGTGGCTGGGACCAACTTCTTAAGTAATCTCTTCATTTTCAAGAGGCAAAACCCTGGAAAGGTAAGAATGTACAGACATCAGCAAATAAAATGTTTGGTGTGGAGCCTATGCTGACCGCTAGTATCCTTTTGTGGTGGCATCCAGCGTTGGCTGAATGCATTCAGACATGGGAGATTGCCACGGGAGGTCTCCCACAACAGCAACATGGCTATTAAGTGGTGGAGAGGAATAGAAAGCACAAGCAAGAATAATCAGGTTGTGGAGGAGGGAGGAGAAAACGAGTGTCGGCATGTTGACTGCACTAGTGAAGTGAAAATGTAGCTGCACCTTCTGGAGGTTTCTAGCTTTTTAAAGTGTCTGTCAAACTCCTCTCCCTCACTGGATTTTAACAGCTTGAGAAAGTGTGTCAAGCTTTTTTTTTTTTTCTCCTCCCCCTTCTTTTTTTGAGATTTACGCAAAGAGGAACCTGTAAGACAGTGGTACTGTACCTGTCCTTTTCATGTTGAACAGTTCTGTCTTCTTTAGCCTCTTCCTCGCTTTTAGCATACCTGCTTTGGGAAGCTCCTCATATTCTGAGGCAGAGGCTTGGTATGCTGCCCGTTGCTCTGAAGCCAGGTATCTCCTGTGTCTGCGCCAGTCCTAGAGCGGGGTAGTTGAACGCTAGGAAGGCTTTGCTGTCGTTAGAATTATGACTTGACCTAGAATCTGCAGAGAACAGGATGGTCAAGAACTGAGTGAATCCACCACTTAACCTTGGAAACTTACTGTCTCCCATGTCTTCAGTTTTGCCTTCTAGTGTGTGGAGTCTTTACCTTCCTGGCTGTCCTGGGCCGGTATATCCCCGGACTCTTGCTCTCATACTTGCTGTGTAAGTAGATCTCTGTGCCAATACAGGCTTGCAAGTGAAAAGGGGTAGAGATAAGTGGGATCTGAATGTCTGAGGGATGGGGTTCTTCTGCTCGAGAGGAAAGCTTGTGTGAATGGCTTTAAAATCTAAAATAATAATACGTTCTGCCTGGAATGTGCTGGTTCTTGACCACGACTTTTAAGGTCTCTGGTCCAGAGAGAACATGTTTGAGTGCTTAGTAACTATAGATCTGAGCACTAATAGGCTGGCCTCTCAGTTTTGTTAAATTGGCAGAGGTGATTGCACCAACTCTAACTGCCTCCTGCAGCACTGCCTTCAGTACTCAGGTCCTGCATGCTGTGTGTGTTCTACTGCATCACAAAACGGGCAAGATATTTGCCAGGTAGCATCCTGAACAAACTTCTAATCAGCATTCCCACTTACCTCAGTGCTCTTCATCCTGCTGTGGCCCCTTGCTGTGTACCACAGACTGGGGCAGCGCATGTACATGAAGCTGGAGCCAGCTCTGCAGCGGCTGGATTTCAGCGTTCGAGGCTACATGATATCAAAGCAGCGGGAGAAGCAACGTAAGTTTCTGTACTGTGTTTCTGACCCTTGGTACCCGAAATGGCCTGTGAATCGAGGCCCTGGTGGTGGAGTGGGATAGAGCTGCATGTATGGCACGGCAGTCACTCCAGCACCCTTGGCAAATACTTGCAACTGCTTTGGGAGGGAAGCGAGGCAGCTTTGCCTCTGCAGACATTTCCCAGTTAGCAGTTGGTGTAAGCTCCACATGGTGCCGAGCCGCTCCGTTTCTCAGCTGCCAGAACTGTGTGTTCGATATTGCAGTTGCCCTGAAAAAAAAGAGGAAGGACTCGGTGCAAGGTAGCTGCTAAACATATTCATTTCGGCAAAGGGTCTGCAGCAGCCCAAGTCAGAAATGATCACATTGCTCTGCTGTGGAACAAAGCATGCTGTGTTATGTCCAAGCTTGCCAGTTTAAGGTTTTTCTGTGCAGCATAAGGCTGGTCCTGTACAGACCCCTGTCCTAGCAGCAATAATAAGTTTTGACTCTGGTTTCTGGCAGTGCGTCGCCGATCCCTTCATCAGGAGGCTGTGGATGATGGGAGTGACAGCGAAGAGGAGCTCGCCGCGTTCTGTCCCAAGGTAAGGAAGCATCTCTGAAATAGAAGAGCTCAGCTGAATAGAACAAACTCGCTGCGTTGCATGGACATGCAGTGTGTAGCCCTGCATCCAGCACACTGTAGCTGCATTGTGATGGAAAATCAGATGAGGATATTCTCCTTTTAGACAGTTCTTTCCTATCCTGCCTCACTCAAGTACGTCCAGCGCTGCTTGTACCAGCTTACAGTCTCCTAGGCTGGGCAGTAAAGTGTGAAATGAGCCTCAGATACCAGCATCCCATGAGGACTGGGTTTAACTGGTGGCCACTGGATCGTGTGTTTTGTCACAAGGCACAGGAATAAGCTTTCCAGTATTGATGTGTTCAATTTTATCTCCTATTTCAAAGCTGGATGACTCTGTGGTTGCCAAGGAACTAACCATCTCTGACTCGGAGCACTCGGATGCTGAGGTCTCCTACACTGAAAACGGGATGTTTAACCTTTCGAGGGGCCAGACTCCCCTGACAGAGGGATCAGAAGGTGAGAGGAAACGGGCGGTTTCTGGAAGGTGTGGAATGCTGAGCAGGCGCGGGTGCAATGGCTGCGAGGGAGGATGCGTTCATTGCCTTCTGTCCTTGAGGTCTAGCTGCTTGATGTCTTGTCTTGCTGGCTAAAATGAGATGCAACTCCCTGTTTTTTCAGAACTGAGCTTCCTCCTTAATTCCCGCGGTGCTCTAGTAGAGCAATGACAGTTGCTCTTCAAAGGCAGATCCAGCTCTGCCAGTCCCTGGATGTAGGGATACAGGCTGCAGTCCAAAGTCTGGGAGGGATTTTTCTACCTTTCCTCTGGCAGAAGGTGTCTGGTTCAGCATTTGCATTCCTTGTGAGTGAACTGGGAGCTCAGCAGGCATCCTGGGTAGCTGTGTGAGGGGGAGATTAAAGAGTGTTTGGTCTGTGAGATGACAAGATAGTCTGTCTTGGGGAGGTAATGGCCCAGCTTTTGCATGCTGTGCTGCCCTTGCCTGCAGGGTGTTTGGTGTGTACTGTGTATTTAAAGCACTTTCTCCTCTTCTAGATCTGGACGGTCACAGTGACCCAGAAGAATCTTTTGCCAGGGATCTTCCCGACTTCCCTTCTATAAACCCGGAAGCAACTGGCATAGATGACGAAGATGACACCAGCATTGGGATCCCAAGTCTGGCTTACCGCCCACAAGTAACAGAAGATCTGCATCTCCCTTATGACCAGGAAGAATCCGGTGCGTTGCCATCTGTACAGAATCTTACTCACAACATAGCCGGATTTGTCACCAGAGGGATGATAGAGCTTGCGCTGTCAGGAGCCCCTCTGCCAGGCTCCTCACACAGCAACAATCCCCAGAGGGGTGCAAAGACTTATCTTAGAACAGCCAGCTCGGACTTGGACACTGATGCGGAAGGGGATGACTTTGAACTGCTGGATCAGTCTGAGCTGAACCAGCTGGATCCTGCTGGCTCACGGGGCCAGTAAGCAATCCCACCACTTCCCTCTGGTTTTCTGTTGTGCATCGGGGAGGGGAATCCTGGAAGGAAAAGCCTTGCACAGTTATCTAGATCGTCTCCTGTGTGAGTATGAGTGACGTGACAGCCAGTCCTGGCTAGGAACACCACTGTGACTTGTGACTCTGTAGCCTCGCTTGGATTTTAAAATAAACTGCACTGGTAATTCATAGGGAAAAGACGTTGCTGTGATAGCTCCACAATCACCCATGTGTTGCCCTGCACTGTCTGCCAGGATGCTGCTTGCTCCAAACTTCCTCACCTACGACAATAAATCCGGTGTCTGCAGCTCTAGAGACCACCGGTCAGACCAACTTAGCATCGCCAAGGACAATCTTGAAGCCGACCTTCTGGGGCTGATGTGTAACCAGGTGAATGGGATTGATTTCCCCTCAGACTTAGCGTCTGGGACTTCAATGCTATTCTGTCTTTAAGACAACCATTCCCCTCTCTGAAAATGTGCACAGAATCCAAGTCTTCTTTCCCAGCAATATCCAGCTCCGGGTAGAATCAAACCCCTTGCTCCTGTTCTGGACACGATGGTGTACAGCCACAATGTTTGTACTTGCGATGACCACTCATCTCCAGTTCCAGCTTTCTAGTGATGCTATTTTGTAAGAGACCTCACGGCAATAAGACATCTACTGTGATGACTAGAGTCCTGCAAAGAACATCTACGTGTGGCAGCTGCTCTTGTGTTGCTTTCCTAAAATAACAGACTAACACTTTGCTAAAAATCCCCTGTGCTCCTCCAGCACGCTTTTGGCGTGGACCGTGGCAATGCCGTGCTTCCCCTGATGCCGCCTCTTGGGGAACTGCTGGGGACCGGTTCTCTGGAGGAGGGAAGAGGTGGAGCTGGTCTGCCCGGCCAGTTTTGTTCTGGCCCTGGGGACATTCTGCAGCTTCCCAGCCCGGCACAGGGGAGAGCCCGCCGGTAGGAGCCAAACAGGGGACACCAGCCCACGCCACCGGTGACCGAAGAGCTCGTGCCTGTTGCGGTCACTTAAAAAACCAGCAGCCTACGGGGGAGAGACCTTCTGTCAGGTGGATGGCCAGAGTCCCCCGGCCCTCTCCACATCTCTGAGCTTTCCCATTGCTTTTTCTAAGCCATAGAACCTGATTCTGAATCACATTTGTGCAGCGAAGAACGTACCTCTTCAGGGAAACCCCTTTAGCTGCCGCTTGTTGTCTAAATGCGCTCGCCTGCGGGAGCTGGCCCGGTGGCCGATCATGCTGGCTCCGGCTGGCTCCGGTGGGGAGGGGGGCGGGCAGGAGAG